CGTTATCACCGTAATGGGCCGTATTTGGCGAGATAATTGTGACTCGTGCCTGCCTATGGACACACCACTTAAGGAATTAATATATATTATGCAAAATGAATAAGCAGATAATATGCCACCTGTTTAACACGGAGGCTTTCAAGACCAATATCAACTACAATACAGTTGTTCTTTGGGGGTTAGATCGCGTAAATGTGTCGTTAAAACTCGCCACCACCCGACACAGCCAACTAGTAAGGGTTGTCACGTAAACAGAACGTGGCCAATTCGTCACTAGTACAGCACGCCGGTGTTTACTTGACAACCTTTACTCGTTGGCTGTGTCTGTGTCGGGTGGTGGCGGGTTTTAACGACACATTTATATATTTATGCGATCTAACCCCCAAAGAACCTCTATTAATATGCCACCTTCCCACGATTGCCTCTCAACATAACAAATGAACGTTGTTTTACGCATCTCATCGGTCGCACAGCTTTCTGGGAGTGAAATGTTGCCAGCAGCATTGGTAAAAAAAAACAATAAAATGTTTCATATTCTTGGTTCTTTCGGTAAAGTCACGTAGAAGGGAAACAATAAATTAATAAAAATATAAAACAATAAAATTCTCACGACGTTTCGACTGCAACAGAATCAATCATCATCAGGTGTGAAAACCACAGCAAGAACATTTGAAAAAAGTGGCGGTTTTTTCTTAACGTTTTTTTTATATTTTGATTATTTTATTGTTTCCCTTCTACGTGACTTTACCGAAAGAACCAACAATATGAATCCCTGCAGTCACGAAAGCTTTAAAAAAAATGTTTGTTTGGTTTTGAACAGTCGGTGCCTCATCAGCAGTCAGGTTTGCTGTGGGGGACACACGTCACAGATCCAAGTATCCTTGAAATCACAGTTGTTAGGAATAATAAGGGTAATAGGAGTTTTTGCGGACCTAAGCACCTGCGGATAATAGGTATTGCAAATAATTATCGTGTCATGGATGAGTAGTGTTGTGCGGATATTGATGATAATGAAAACATACAAAACAACGGACCGCACAGGGATATTTCGAATGGATTTCTGGGGCAGCCAAGAAATATTGTGCTTCGGGAATAAAAGGCTTTTTTTATCTCTTCAATTTACTTTTTTTTGTCTCACGATGAACTGTGACATTTCCACTGCTTTTTTGTGGGCCAATGACAGTGGGCAACATTCTCAAAGGGAGATGCCTAAAGGTATGCTTTTCAGCACAAATGATTTTTTTCTCACGTTTGCTACCGCCGTAGTTATTTACTTTGCTTCGTGGCTCTGCTATCTGATTTCGGGCTGTACCGCGCGTCATCCGGCGTTAAATCTGCCCTTTCACTCCATCTCCTGAAGCTCCCAGCATGGGGAGCAAAACTTCCGACACAGTGCAAGACAATGCTCAGTACAATCAGACAACACAGGGTACAATCAGACAAGACGTCGGAGAGACGTACAGGGCAACTGAGACAACCACCGTGTGACTTTTATCCGGGTTTAAAAGTGTCCATTCTTTTAGAGAAATCCATAAAGTACAGGGTTGGAATGGTATAATCACTTTTCATGAGCTTCACTCTTGTAGAACTTAAATTCGGATAAAGGTCAATTATATTAACTCCCAATAACCTCTTCCGTAAAATAACTATCTCACTGCTATATTCTTAGTTATATATAGTTATATATATTATATTGTTGTTTCTCTTCAACGTGACTTTACCGAAAAAACTAAGAATATGAATTACTGCAGTCACGAAAGCTTTAAATCAAAATTTATCTCACTGCTGTTCATGAGGGCAATTTAAAAAGATAACCAGCGAAACATCCACGACAAAGCATAACATTGTAAAGCTGTGCCATCGTTCATCGCTCGCAGAGGCACACACCGTTACGTTCGCCACCTTTCCTGATTTTTTTTCCTGACGTTTGTCCTCTGTTTTTTGTTTGTTAAGATAACTGCATTGGAACATCTGTCAGTCTTTCTAAAGTATGAAAAGCCCACGCTTTTTGTTCACAATGCGTTCACACGCAGTTCTCCATTCGTCCCGGGCCTTGTTGTGAGATTCTGTTCGTACCACGATATACGGTGCAACCCAACACGACACCATCTTATGTTCACCGCGGCATTGATGCAGGCCGGGGTATGCGCCAGCGCATCTTCATCGCGCGCAGTGGCGTGAAGCCAGAGAGCAGCCTTCTTTGTTACGAAATAGCACGTTTTGTGCGTATATGTGCCACGTGTCGCCATATATGTGATTAGCAGAGTGTAAGAACCAGGAACGGGATGCTCCTCTGAAAGAGAGTAGCTTTCCTCTTCAGCCGGCACTGTTCAAGGGCTGAGTTCAAAGAAATCCCCAAACCCCCTGGATGGCAGGGTGTTGGGAGTTCAGGGTCCGCTGAAATATATTCCATGAGAAATTGAGTCCTGCTGCCATCCTCTTGAGCGAGAATTAAAAGCACTCTGACTTCCCGTGATTGGCGTTCTTTCGGGGAGAGGGGACCCGAAAACACCTGAGCCGAAAACACCTGGGCAACATTGCATATTCGAATGGTACTGAGGCCATATTGGCAGATGTACACCTGGATATCAATTTCCACATTGGCGAGATGTTAACTATCTCGCCTGCTATACAGGAGGTTGTGGGTTCGATCCCAATCCTGACACCTGGATATTTGGAGTTTGCGTGTCTCTCTTACTGTGGTAGCGTGGATTTTTCCCCGGGTTCTCCGGTTTTTCCCTTCCCATTTAGAAAAATAGACGTTGAGAGTATTTTTATGCTAGAAAATTTCCACGCGATAAGCCACTTCCTTGAGCTATCATTTGTGGCCAGGTCGCTTCTGAAAAAGAGCTATTCATCTCAGTGGGCCTTACCTGGTAAACTAAGTTGTTTTCGTGTTAATGTTGCACTGATGTACAATGTACTTTGGTTTTCCTTAATAGAATATATTTAAGCAGCATTGTGAGTACAGTGTTAAGCAGTGGCTGGTTTGCAATGGGATGCTACCTTGATGTAATGGTTCGCACACCGAATTTGCAATCCAGAGGTCGCCGGTTCGATCCCATCTCCACGTTCGGCAGTTGAAACAATGGGAGACAGTTTCTTCAATCATTCAGCCTACATCGTGTGTCTTTATGGGCCCTTCATAGGTGCCACTCGCTAACAGCACTTGCCCCTACAGTCTGTTAAGGCTATATGGGGGATCTTTGTATTTATCTTTGTATTTTCATCTCCGGGTTAAATGAAGGACATTTGCTTCTTCCAAGTCACCCGTGTGCTACCTTTTGACATGTAACTGACTTTGTAAAATAACAGCATTTTATAATAAATGACCTCGGTATGTTGATTTTTTTTTACGTAACCCCCCCCCCCCCCCATTAAATTACAACAGACAGCCTATAATTAAATGAACATATTTAGCTTTTAGATAGGCGAACGATCACAATAGAATTGTCCAATTGAAATCGAGTTTATTGGGAAAAAAAATCAAATTGAGTCCCATTTTGAAATTTTGGAACTTATTTTACTAAACACGTTATCGTATAAATGTATATACTGTACATATATTATTTTTCTCTGAGGTTAACACTCTAGCTTTTTTGAGTTTATTTTCATTATCGTGTTATTTCTTAAACTTGAAATTCCATTTCGTGGACTTGAATCTGTCATGAGTGGGCAGAATTCTTAAACAGAGGTTTTGCTTTGAATTCAGTGCCACTCTTGATGCATTATATTGCGTATAAATTGTTACACTTTGCATATGTTAAGGCGTTTTTATAGCTACCGCATATGAAAACTCATTTTTGTGATATTAAAATTGGTTTATAACCCAACGTTGACGATTACTTGGAGATATAAATAATTAAAGGCGCGATTCTAGCGGGTTAAAATCGGCCACTCAAAACATTACATGCATCAAAAAACATTAGTTGCTAATAATTTAAATGTGCCGGCAGATGCTTATTTTAAATAAATGTAAAAAAAAATCTCTATGAAAAGCAAAATCAATTGGGTTTGTAGATATAAATCAAACGCATCTTTTCTGTGTTATTGTGCGTCCTCATGCTTACGCTCATGCTTACCCAGGTGAATATGCAAAACATAAACCAATTCGGTAACTTTGAGAGTCGGTACAATATATCTTAACTGCTGGATGAATTGTTGCATCAACGAACATTAGCAAATTATTTATGAATGTTCTTTACACATGAGTGAATGTTTCACGTACAGCGCTCTTTTAACGTGAACCTGCAATTAAATCTCATTCATGCTTTCATGCTCATAATTTTTAGTGCTCGTGCAAAAATGATCAACGTGAATGTTTTAAATGTATTTTTAAGATAGACACGTATTAAAAAAAATATATTTTCTCCTGTGCCTTGGTCCAGTGCTCATGTGATCAACGACTTTTGTCGTATTGACCACTTTTTTTTGTTTGTTTACGATACCCCGTGTTCCATTATTACTTCCTTATGAAATATTCATCGTTTCATTTCTGAGAGTCGTAGGGCATTTAGGCAGTGGGCTGTAGCAAGAATAATAATACCAACAATGCAACAAATAACCCAGGCAAAAAAGCACACACTCCCAATGATAAACGCACGTAATTTAACCTTTCATTAAGCCTTGTAGTGGAAAGTTTCTTGAATGTGCAATTGTTGTGCTAAGTTTTTCTTTCCTCTCACCTAAACCTCACAATGTGTAATGATTTGCTATTTTCATTTTTTGAGGCCACCGTATGCGAGCGTCCACAAATGTCACTGAGGTCAGCAGTGTGCTTTGCTCTTTTGAATGTGAGGTCACTTAACGCTGGCCATTGATTATTGTAGTCGTTATTAAGGCAACTGTGCAGGTTAACATCACCGTGCTTGCTGTCACAATTATGGTGCAAGCGGCGAAGAAATCGGGACGTGTAAAAGGTGCATTGCAGGGCGACGCTTGCGTGTCTATAAAATATTGGATTCATTGCACGTTTGCAGAGCGAAGCAAGAAAAATATTGTACAAGGTGTTTTGTTTATTTTGTCAACGATTCCTGTGCGGGAACGATTAAAAGAACAAACCAAAATTTAAAACATTGTCATAGTGCTGGTAATTGTAACTAATATTTTACCTGAACCCACACAAATCACAATAGGCATTTTAAAACGAAAATGTAAACGGTAGTTTGACATTGTCGATTTTAATGTGGAAAGAAAAAAAGGACGTAAAAAAATATGCAGCACAAAAATACCGAGCGGTTTGATTTCGTGCGCAGTAAAAAAAAAAAACTGTTTTTTTTCAAACAGAGCGCTGATTTACACGGTCCAAACGCCAATGTTTTGTATAATGACCCATTCGGTCTGTTCCTTCACTACTCTAATGAGCAGGCAGTTTACGTCCATCGTCACCAATGTCGATACGCCCGCCAAGTCGAACTGCCCGTCGGCGAACTCCCCGAGTGGCACGTAGTTGCTGCAGTCTCTCCCCGTGGACGTGGGCTTCAGGCCGTCCCCCACGGCCAGCGCGGCGTGACGTAGCACGTCCCCTTTCCTGTCCTCCGTTCCCGTGCGCACCTTGATCCTCTCGATCTTCGCCGCCTTCTTGAAGACGAGCAGGAAGAACTTGCCGGCGCTCGGCGCCTTCCCCCAGAAGTACTCGCCGCCCAGGCCGTAGGCCTTGTACGGGTGGTAGGCCTCGAACACCTCGATGTTGGTCCTGAGGAGGGCGGGCGGGTTGTCGGGCACGTCGGACGGCTCGTCCTCGAAGTCGTCGTCCTTGAGCTTGTTGGCCGTGCCCCGGAAGGACGAGTAGTACCCCATGTGCTGGAAGAGCGACGGCTTGAAGCGGATGGCGTCGCCCTGCGCCAACAGCGTGCGGAAGTGGTTGAGGAGCCAGTCGCACGGCATCTCCTGGTAGAACATGAGCAGGAAGCGGGCGAGGCGGGGCAGGTCGCACGAGCGGTACAGCTTGCCGATGTAGCCCAGCTTGGAGAACTCGAGCGTGGCCCAGGGCTGGCCCTCGAGCGAGGACACGAACTTGCGCACGTAGGTAAGGAAGTTGCGCGAGCACGCCACGTCGTCCTCCAGCATCAGGTAGTTCTCCGACAGGTTAGCGCAGAAGTTGGTGAGGAAGGCGTAGTCGACGTTCTGCTTGGAGCGGAAGGTCACCCTATCGTCGGGGTCGTCGAAGTTCCTCTTGAGGCCCTGCAGCGGCGGGTAGGTGTGCCGCGGGGCGTGGATGACCACCAGGCGGCCCCGCATGACGTGCTGCGAGAACTTGCGGGCGACGGCGCGCGCCGTGCCCTCGCACCACTCCGTGTCGAAGTCGGCGAGGTGCACGACGATCACCATGTCCGCGAGCTCCTCGTCGCTCGACTGCTCGAAGATCGACTTGAGCGTCTGCAGCAGGTAGTTGCCCCTCGCCCTCTTCACCGACGAGATGCCGATCGTCAGGTACTCTGCAGTCCAAGGGCGAGTGGCCCAGCGGTCGTTTGGTATAGAAATGGGCAAGATCAAGCCAAAGGTCAAAGCGGTAATAAAGCCCTTTTGGTTATAAATGACTGCATAATACAAAAAAATACATGTATATATACATGTATTATATATACATGTATATAACATGTGGGTACAGACACAAATAAACACTTGGGACATGTTGCCAATTTTCAGATGAATCTTAAAAATCTGGCTTCGCTATGAAAGATTTCGGGTTGAACCGATCTTATGATGTCACGGGAAATGCCAGCGCTTATGTTACATCCCTCACTTTTGCACTTTTGCTGCTATAGGTGGTGGCATGTGCCATCAGGTGACGTCACTTGTTCACGTGAAGACACGCAAAAAATATGACAATGTAAATGATCAGAAAATTCTAACCAAGAACCAAAGTCGTCCTTAATCCCAACAATCTGATCTGCTTAAATCCAAAAACACATTCCTAATACACACACTGTTATATATCTTTATTGAATTTAGCTTTTTTACAAAACTGCAGCTATTAAATGTATGCACGTTGAACGTCCTTCGCACCGTACGTAGACAACCGTGCTCATCGGAGGGTGCGAATTAATTTATGAAAAGGTCCGCTAATAGACTCCTGGAGAGAATAAATCCGGGGCTCCATTGGAGGTGCCGAGTACGTGTTGTGCCGAGTACGTGTTGTGCAGTCTGATTTCCGCAGCAAAAAAAAAATGCATCTTCATCTCGGAGGTCCAAAGGCAATTTAAGGTCACGACCCCACCGGCATCACGGCGTGCTTTCGACTCGCGCAAGGAACGCCTCTTGCCCTTCAACACCACAAGCGGCAATGCAATATTTATTATTCAACGCATACCGCTCACTTTATCCAAAGTCATTATTTTTTTACATTGCCAGTTTATGTTAGACTTCAAACGTATAATACTGCTGAATATAAAAATATATACAAACGTGCACTGTGAGATGCACGTTTCTCAATTGAGTTTTACATAGTCATAAATAAAGATGTCTACTATCTATAATCTGGCTATGGATATTGCCATGGTCTAACGGTTAGCACAATGGATTTATAACCCAGAGGAGGCCACTAGTTCGATCTCCTGATGTGGCAGTTGGAAAAATAGGCAAGCTTCTTAAATCCTCCTGCCTCTGCCCACCCAGCAATAGAATGTGTGGCAACTCCTACATCTTCCAAGATGCCCGGCCAGTGTAAGAGAGTAGGACAAATACGCTCTAGAGAGGGCTCTTTTGAGCTTACCCGTGTGGAGGCCCCTTCTGCCAGAAGCGGTGTGAGAAAGTTATTTCATAGCCTCACCTTTACGTGGTAGCGTGGCGGCAGTGAGTGGCAGAAAGTGTGGCTCGTGAATCAGAAGGTTGCATGTTAAATTCCAGTTAGGGCTTTCCCCAGCTCTTCATCTTTGTGGGGACGTCAAGAGTGATTGTTCTGAGGAAAATCTAAACCCTGCCATAGGAATGTGGAATTTCCACCACTGTAAATTGGAGATGAGCAATGTCCCATGCTCAAGTAAGTGGGAAGCTACTTTTGCTTCGTGACTTATTTTGCTTATCATCCATGGAAATATGAACGCATGATACAATATTGAATTTTGCTGCAGCTGTATTTAAGTGTGATTTATTACAAAACCAATGAAGCAGTGTAGACGCTTGCATTGTTTAGTAATTATAAAATGAAAATGACTTTGATGTAATAGGTGAACTCATATGAAATGGGTTTCATGGAATCCTTGTATATGTGTATTTCGTGGTTTGTAATGAATCATTACTTATTCTGTATTTTTGCAAAAAAAATACTTATATATTGAGCAATGTGTAGTGGCCTTATTGACGTCGGAGACTGTTCATTGGAGGCAATACGTATTTATTACAGACGCTTCAATAACAGTGGCGAATCTGATACTTGAAGAGGTAACGGCCTCTTCACCCGTACTCTACAGAGGGAACGTTCCCCGAGCTTTAGCCCACGCTAGCTCCCTGGTTCCCTCTATCCTGGTCCTCTCTCAGGAGGCTGTCTGACCTGGCCCAGCTTCGGCGCAGGTCCCGATCACCAGCCACACGAGTCCGGCCCTCAGAAGGACATCGGCCCTCGTGGCTCTGATGTCGCACCCTGGCTTGCTTTGCCCGGCCCTCAAAAGGACAGCGGGCCAAAGGAGTCCCAGGGTCTAGCTAGTCCATCTTCTTTCTTCACTGGCTCTTCATCTTGCTTGAGTTGAACTGCCTCTCAGCTCTCCGGGTCCCACCTTTTATACTGTCCCTCTCTGAGGGGCGGGGCTGGGAGGGATCACAGCGTCCCCCACAGCCCCCCAGGGTGGTGGCCATAGCGGACGTGGTTGTGGCCACCGCCCTACAACCGCGTGTCACCCTCCCGTAACACCTCTACAAATGTATTGTAGGGTGCTTAATCAAAATACAAATTTCTCATAATTCTTCCAATCAATAGAAATATATATGAATGTTTCGATTTAAAGCTTTCGTGACTGCAATGATTCATCTTCTTTGGTTCTTTCGGTAAAGTCACGTAGAATGAGAATAAAATAATAAATTGATAAAATAAAATAACACAATAATATTCTCACGACGTTTCGGCCACAACACAAGCGGCCTTCATCAGGTGAAGGGAGCGAGACTGTCTGGTAGGACAGCGCTGGAGTGAGAGAGCCACGTTCAGATCACGGCTTTTAAGCTGTGTGAGAGGAACAACGAGCCTTGACGAAGGAATTAGCATAAAATTTAGCATTGAAAAGGCTGAATGATTAGCTTGTGACTGGTCACAGAAATAGCTATGTTAAAAGTTAAAGCATACACATCCGCAGAGGCACCCATTGTTAAAAAGAATTAGCATAGAATTTAGCATTGAAATAGTTAAATTAAGGCATTCGCTTGTAACTGCTACAGAAATAGTTACGTTGAAGTCAGAGCATACACATTCACCGAGGCACTTAGTACAAATCAAAACAGGAGAATTTAGCATTGAAATAACTAGGCGAATTTAGCATTGAAATAACTGGGTGATTTGCTGGTGACTGGTCACAGAAATGACTACACATCTGAGCTATTCACAGTACTATATAGTGAACCAATACAAACTAAAATATAAATTACCTTCATGTTATCAATAAACTCTATATTCTCCAATCAGCTAAGCTACCAACCATAAGTCGTTATATATCACAATGCTATATGGCGAAAAAATGGGTGGATTCTTACCCTCAAATTTCCGTACCACGGATAGCTACGGGCCCCGTTCAGACGGACGAGTTCGTCCATGGTCGGAACAGAGGAGGGGGAGAGAGACAGCTGCGAAGCCCTAGTATACTCCATGTTGTAAACCATACCATTAACCGTGGTGTGAGAGGTATTAAGAGGCAATGCTGGCGAAAGAGCTGCGGTCTGAAGGTCATCGTAAAATTACAATTAATTAAGAACAGAAATGATTTAACACATCTTTCCAGTGGTTACTAAGCCTGAATCCATCTTCTCGGTTGAAATTGTCTCTGTGCTTGTATATGTGAATGGCCTCATGAACGAATCTCTCATGGTAGCCAGTTGGTTTGCAAAGAACCTCCGTCTTGGAGAAGTCAATGTCATGTGAGCCCACTGAATTGTAACAGTGATCTGCCACGGCCGAGGAGTTCGTCTTACCGTGTTTCAAGTCTGCTTTATGTTCGCGGATGCGGTCCGAGATATGTCTTTCGGTTTCTCCAATGTAGCTACTACCACAGAGGCACTTTAGTTTGTAAACGCCCGGGTACTGTATGTCTGGAAGAGCATCTTTTACAGATGGAACTAAATCACGGATTTTGTGTACTGTGTTGAATCGGACCTGGATCTTGTGTTTATTCAGGATTTTGGAGATCTTTTTAGTGACCCCTGCAATGTAGGGTAAGGTGATGGTTTTGAGTGGCTCCACAAGAGGATCCTTCTTCATGACTGGAGTGATGGCTTTGCGGATTGTGTAGTCGGAGTAGCCATTAGCCCTGAGAGCCTGGTGTACGTGCTTGAGTTCACTGGTAATGTGTTCCTGGTCGGAAATGCATTGGGCTCTATGGTATAGAGTCTTGATGAGGCAGTTCTTCTGGGATGGATGGTGGTGGGAATCCGGTTTCAAGTAAGCATCTGTATGGGTAGCTTTCCTGTAGACAGAGTGGCTCATTGAACCATCATGTCTCCTTTTAATTAAGACATCCAGAAAGGGTAGTTTGCCATCTTTTTCGACCTCCATGGTAAATCTGATGGCTGGGTGTATGGAATTGATGTGGTCGCGGAATTGGTCTAGAGCAGGCTGGCCATGTGGCCAGATGACAAAGGTGTCATCAACGTACCTCTTCCATAAGGTCGGGCGTAGAGTGGCAGTCTGGATGGCGTCAGTTTCAAATTTTTCCATGAATACGTTGGCTACAACCGGAGATAGGGGGGAGCCCATTGGGGTGCCCTCAGTTTGTTTGTAGAAAGTTCCATTCCAGGTGAAGTATGTGTTGGTTAAGCAATGTCTCACCAGGGGGGGTACATCAGTATGCAGTCCTTGATGAACCAGGTCTTCAATGATAGCGATGGTGTCAGGTACCGGGACTTTGGTGAACAAGGACACCACATCAAAACTGACAAGCAGGTCGTTTGGGGACAGGGAAATGTCTTTGATTGTCGATACCAGGTGAGTAGAATTTAGTACCGCAGAGGTGGTTTTTCCAGTGAAAGGTCGCAGTATATCAGCCAGAAAACGTGCCAGTTTGTAGGTGGGGGAGCTGATAGTAGAGACGATGGGACGAAGGGGTGTATCTTCTTTGTGTATCTTTGGAAGGCCACAGACCACCAAGATTATATGGCCTTCCAAAGATACACAAAGAAGATACACCCCTTCGTCCCATCGTCTCTACTATCAGCTCCCCCACCTACAAACTGGCACGTTTTCTGGCTGATATACTGCGACCTTTCACTGGAAAAACCACCTCTGCGGTACTAAATT